GGGGGAGGGGGGAGGGGGCGGGGGGGGGTTGAGCATAATTGAGCTCAACCCCGTATGATCCTCGATTACAAAAAATCAGGAAAAAAAGAAGCCTTTCCCAACTCCATGGCCCCCACCGCCCAACAGAAAAAGAAAAGAATTGCAAAATGTTCATCACAATTATATCTGCACTGTTATCGTGGACACACTCTTCGGTAATGGTGATGAATCATGGGCCACCGGTGACACCAATGCATGTGTGGGATGTGTGTGGGTTGCCATGCATGTGGGATGTGAGCCCTTGCCTGTGGCAGGTCTGCGAAATTCTCGACCAGCTTGAGCGACTGAGGCTAGAGAAGGGCGACAGCTGAGGTGTGGACACCCCACCGTGCATGGTTTTTGTTGGTGATAACTAGGGGGAAGGCGGAAGGTGGAAGGGAGGATTCCAAACCTGGGGGATGGGGGACGATTGTAATCCAGGAAGCATGCTTCAGCTGGTGCCGAAGCGTAAATTGACAAAGGCAGACATTGGAACAGGTGATCGTCCTTGGTTTAATTTGCATCCCCATAAACGGTGGCTAACATTTGTAGGTCCAGAAGGATCACTTCAGATGTGGGACTATGAAGTGGGAAAACGGGTTGCACTCTGGTCTGTTGACAACAGTTATGGGCGTGCCTATTTCATTGGGCAAAAAGATTGGATTGTGGCAGAGGCACGCGAACAGCTTGAAGTGTTTGAAATCCAAAATTCAACTCTGCAGTCCGTGGTGCGTCTAATGAGAGGTTACGGTGATTGGCCAGTCCTGGCGGTCTATCCAACCTCATCTTATCTTCTGAGCCACTTCGAAGGGAACGATGTTGCACTTTGGGACTGGGAGAAGGAGTGGGAGAAGATTGTGTTCAAAGGCCATTCAGACTGGATCAGGGCAGTGGCATTTCACCCAACAGAGTTGAACCTCTTTGCAAGCTCATCAATGGATTCCACAATTAGGGTATGGGATATTCGAAAAAGGTCCGTCATGCATACCATACAAGATGCTTGCATTGATTTGATATGGCGTTTGCAGTTCTGCGGCAAATCTCAAAAGCCACTTCTGATCACAAGCGGCAATACCAAAGATGCAAGGGTTTGGGATTATCAAGAGGCATCGTGCATTGCCAAATTGGAAGGGCACAAGGATTATGTCTGGAGTGCCTTTTTCCACCCGCACATCCCGTATATCTTCACTATGGACGAGGGTGGGGAAATCAAGGTCTGGAATGAGTTAAACTACCAACTAGTGCTGTCTTATTCCACTCAGTTCAAAGTTGGCATCATGGCCCCTTGCAGAGATTCAAACAAGATCGTCGCCTCTGGTGACGGGGAGATTCTTGTGTTAGAGCTGGTTGGCAGCGGAATTGTAGAGTGTACGAGGAGGATTGAGAAGTTGGAAAAAGGGCCAACAATTTCAAAAAAAGTGGACCTTGAAGACAAAGTGCTCGATATGCAGAAGGCAGTAGATGAACTGCGAGCAGCCCAGAGAATCCAAGCAGAGAGCTTGGCGCGGTCGACCAAGCATTGATTCAACAAGAGCTCCTGGAGGGAGGTCAAGCACAGCGTACGGCCATGCTCATGCGCTTGGAGCGTGACTCTCAGTACGTTGCTCCAGAATACTGGCGGTATAAGATTTTCGACAAGAGGACAGGCATTTATGCCTTTGGCATCACAGTTCTGGAGACTCTGACGGGCAAGTTGTCAGATGCATATGAAATAGTTGAAGCTGCGGTGGACGATGATCATGGAGCTTTTCTCAATGTTCTGGACCCGAATGCGGGTGGCTGGGATGCAGACCTTGCAGCAGAAGTGGCACGCTTGGAGTTGAGGTGCGCCAGTCTGGACCGCCGTCATCGGCCAGATATGATGATGGGAGGCAATGAGAGCATTCTTACCATATTGGAGAGAGTTGCTCTTGAGGTGGATCTTGCTGACGAGGTAGAGGTTGCACCGCAGAATCGGTGAGTCACCCACTGAAGGGGGTGTGTGGGCGCGCGATAATATGCTAATTTTTATTTATGCATTTCATGGGTGGTGGGGGCCTTCTGCATTCTATGAGCGGTGGGTGCCCTGATCTTGGCTCTTTCTTTTTTTTATTGTCTGTTAAAGGGGGGGGGAATGTGGGAGTAAAAAGGTTTGAAACGGTCTCAACTCAAAGCGGTTTAAAGAAGGGTGCCATAGTTTTGTGTTTTCTTATTCTATTGTAAATCTTGGACTCAGTAAGGAACTCCCTTACTCTGACACTGAGGTAGCCCTCAGCCAGACGTTGTTTTTTTTTTTTTTTTTTTTTTTTTTTTTTTTTTTTTTTTTTTTTTTTTTTTTTTTTTTTTTTTTTTTTTAGCCAGACATTGTTTGGGACTCCGATTTTACAGATCATTTCTTCCAACATATCAGCTAGTACATAGTCTCTGTAAGGTATGTGGATAAATAGGGTGACAGGTTCATCGTTCTGGCCTGAGGCTCATGAAAACAGTCGAAATGCGACACTCTTGATTTTCAGGGTGCAAGTAGATTGTTTGGAGCGCTCAAGAGTGTGGCATTGCTTGGTCACGGCAGAGACTCCCACATGCATTGGGAACATGCTATCTCGGTCTATCACAGATTGTCACTGAGGGGAAGAAACGGAGGTAAGAGTTGAATCATACTTCTCTTTTGCACTCCGCAAGAGGACTACGATCATTCAGACAGTGTGCCAGAGCGATGATTTGGTCGCACATCACTCAGTATTTAGTATTTACACATGCACATCACTCAGTATTTAGTATTTACACATGAGCGTCTTTCGTTGCACAGAAGTGGACTGTTGTGCTGATGGGCTATATCTTAATATTTTTTAAGAGAGCTTTAACTTTCATTGGTGCTGTAGCCTGTACTAGATATGTGCCACCCTCCTGATGAGTTGATGAGAATGCCGAAATACAGCTTGTCAGAGCCGCTTTGTTTTTCGTTTCAGTTGGTTGAACTTGCCTGAAATCAGACATAAATGTCTCACAATTGTCGCAGGGAAACATCCGATGAACTGAGGACAGAAGGACGAAAACGACAACGAATGGTAAGCTGTCACGGTAAGAGATTGTTACGGATTTCCATTGGGCTTTCACCAACTGATCAACAAGCCAAATATGCATAAAATGTGTGTATATAATATATATGTGTGTCTGTGTGTGAGTGCGTGTGTGTGTGATTGTGTGTGTGTGTGTGTGTGTGTGTGTGTGTGTGTGTGTGTTATTTTGGGCTATGAAACCGTATGAGCGCACGGAAGCGCGAGAGCGCGCGCTTAAGCGCGCGCTTTATCCCCCCCCCCCTGCGCTCAAAGCGCTCAAAAAAAAAAAAAAAAAAAAAAAAAAAAAAAAAAAAA